GAGAGAGAGAGAGAGAGAGAGAGAGAGAGAGACTTTTGCAGGCTGTAAGGTCGCGTACGCAGAAACGTGGGAACGTATCGTGTATTCAGACTCGAAACGTGGAAGGATCCCCGATCCTTCCGGCGGCAGGAGATAAAAATCATAGCTCGAGTTACATCTTCGTGTAACTTAATCAAACTTCACGCTCCTCTGTACTCTGTAAAATGTAGTCCTTAAATAAAGTTTATCGGGAGACTCGAAACCCTTGAAAATGGGCACAGGTTCAACGATCACAGGACGCTTCTGAACGACCCTTTTTCAGGATCCCATGCAGTATAATCGTTCGTTTCCGTTACAACACAACAGACATGCCTGCTGTTACACGAACACGCACGGGTCACGTACACGCATCTTTTGTGGAGCTTCTTTTCACCAGCAGTTCCGATCAGGAATTTAAAGCATACTCTCGAATACACGAATTTATATTCTGATGAAAGAGTTCTTTACAACAGGGCGGAATATTCTTCTTCCACTTGCACTCTCTCAAGAGAGAAAGAAAAAAGAGTTTGTTAATCGAGTGTCGACGAACTGAGTGTCAAAAGGCAGGCGCGTTGTTGTTACTTTCGCGAGCAGGAATTTTTATCTTCGCCAGGTACGAGTCTGTCTTTGGAGCGTAGAAATTACAATCATTCCTGGCACCGAACCTGTCACTTCCGGCTCTTTCCAACTGTCCCTTCCGACTTTGATTTCTATTTTATTCCACGGTCTTTTCACCTCGCATTTCGTTATTTTAACAAGAAATGCGATCGTCGCGCACGCTGTGTTTCACTTTTCTTACTGTGGCTGTGAGAGCCAAAAGCGAGTTACTTTGAAACAGTCAACGACACGATCTGAATGAAGCGGGACGATTAATTTTCCTCCAATCAGATTAATTTACTTCCTGCTTTTCTGAGAGAGCGAAAGACTCTGCTCTCCTCGCGACGTTCGCATATTACCAACAGCGAGAGTCATTAGACGGCCTGTCGCCAAATGAAAACAGCCTTTCAGCATGGAAATTAAAAGCGACAAACTGTAATCCAAAATAAAGCCTAAAATCGTTCGATAGATTTCAGAAATTTTAGTAATAGTCTCTTCGAGTAAAAGTCAGTAAAAGAAACGATCGTACAAAATATGCCAGTGAAACATCATAGATAATTTCCTTACGTGAAAGAAGAGATGAATGTTAACGAAAGCACGTGCACGATTAAACTCTTCGTTTCGAGTAGAAGCAAAACTAAAACAGAACGACTAGAAAATTTCACTCGCCGGTTGCAAAATAAATTCGGATACTCCTGCACCGACTAGGTTTCCTTTTTTACACTTTTACATTCCAGTTCGCTCTTTTCGTAACATGGCGTCAATCGATATAGAATGTTCTTCGATGTAGATTTAACGAGACCATGCTTCGTGAAATCGATGAATAGTGAAAAGGAAACGTAGGATATCACGTGCAGAATACCATAAAGCACAAGTAACCGAGAGGAATAAATTCCTCCAACAGACGTGACGGAGGAGTCTATTTCATTATGTCATAAACATATCACTGATTAACTATGTTAATTGGCCAATGTTCAGATTGCTCGTTCTTCCGCTGACTGTTAAAACGCTCCACTAGCTCGCGCGCACGCGCGACGCATCCGCAACTAGCAAAACTGTACATCCCGGTGCACCGTTCTGTCATTCCAATCGGGAAAATGAAATTCAAGGAATACACGGAACAAGCGGCGAGCAATTTTGCTCGATTTCGAAGCTGTCGGCGTCGACGCCGAGTCTCAGCAATTGCACGCGCCAAGCTAATTACAGAGAAAATATACACACAATCCAGATCGTTTGAACGTCATCAGTTTTCAACGCTATGTTATAACGCAATCGATCTATCACTCCGAGATAATTCAGAGAAAACTGGAGTTTTTTTTACTCCAGATTACTCGCCTCGTCATTGTGCGCGTTCAAAAAAAGAAAAAAAGGAGAATTAAGTTAAGAGAAAGAGGAGGCTGCGCGGAAGGCAGACACGGAACAGGTCGTCGACACTGCCGATGTGGAATCAATGGTGGGAACGAGATACTTCGACGACCGTTGAATCGATCAAAATACATTTCCATACGTCCCATTTTTTTTTTTTTTCCTTTTTCTCTTTCTTTATTTTCAACAATCTCTGACCGAAAATCCTCGATTCGCAGAGAGAAGCAGACCGCAAGCCGCAATCTTTCTCTCTGCCGTTCGTGCTACGTTTTACAAAATCTTTCCATTATTTCGTCGTGCACGTCGCGAGAGAGAGAGAGAGAGAGAGAGAGAGAGAGAGGATTCGTTTTCATAAACGCGACGATTTGAAAAAAACTTCCCTGTGT